TCATAATTCAACTTCAGCTGGTAGATGAATGCAGGAGTCTTTTGATTTAGTGCAGTAACATCTCAGTTGGTTGGACTACATATGGTGCTAGGGGATACAAATCTCTGAGAGATTTCCCAAATTTTCATTGGAACGAATGATGTTGCAAACAAGATACTGTTCGTAATTTAGTCATTATGTATGCCCGATAGTGAGTATGTTCATGCAGTCCACTCGTTTAGTGACAAAGGGAATCAGACAGAATTAACTCTCAAATTTTCTTCTGGAACCCTACACAGAAGCCAAGTTCCATTTGCGACATTTAATGTTATCATGATTGATGTCAAGTCTTCGTCTGATAGAGCCCTAGGTTACAGACTAGTGTAACGCAATTGTTGCCATGAATAATAAATGATGTGATAGTTTGTTCTTAAATTATGTACAGAGCGTTCATCTTTTGAATGAATTTTTTATCTTCGCTGACAAGCATGTTACTTTCCGATGATTCCTTCCAACGATCAAATCACCGGATCACCATCCGTATCGCATTTCAAAGACAATCGTCAAAATTCCTCACGTTATATCCGTCGTTCGTTTGAGTTTCCCAGGGTCGTCTGCCCGGTGTTCCCGAGAAATCCATCTTCGGCATCAATTGTTGAAAAACGTGTATGTTATCTTTCCAAACTGTGCTTCGATTCACCAATCGTGGAAGATATTTTGATCGCTGAATAGCGGAAATGGTGTCTAGTTCCTTTTCGGTTTCATTCAAGAGAAGCTTTGGGAATGCACGGATTGGGCGCTTTATTTTTTCTTGTGATAGATTGATCGAAATATTGTTCTACCTAGTTAATTCATGATATATATCTATACATATAATGAAGAATGGGCCCGGTTAAAACACTCCAGTGTAACGTTTAATTAGGCCTTTGTGCTGCAACTAATATTAATATTTTCGATATAGCGGAAACCCATAGTCAAACTCCTGCCCCATTGAACTCCACGGGAATAGAAAACAATGAGTAGGTTCCTGTGGTAATCCGGGCCTACGTGGACGTATACCCTAGAGCGGAGCGTTACAGCTTCTGGACACCTGCGATCAATCGAATTTGAAAGCTGACGTCAATGACGCGCGTACGAGCGTCACGGCTTCTGACTATACGCCATTGGTGGATAGTGCCAGCCAATCCGAGAAAAGTGACAGAATTATGGAAGCTATACTGTATTATAATTGATGGAAGCCTAGATAACCAATGATCTTCTTTTGTATATATTATTTAATCGCCTTCATTTCTTCCAATAAACGAACTACGAGTTACCAGTCTTGTGGCCTTTTCCTCGCATCTCGTTCACGTGTAATAGTGCCAGTTCGTGTCATTGCCGTCCAGTTCATCCGTGATCCAGTCCGTGATAGCTGATACTTGATTCGCGTCCTGTGATTCCTATTGCGTGGTTCGCGTTCCGAATTCCATGCGTATTACTACTACTACTACTACTACTACTACTACTACTACT